GCACACAAAGTGGGTAAACACCTTGCTAGGCAGCAAAACTATAGGGGGAGAATCAACAGCTTAAAGCCATTTAAAAAATGCCACCTTGCACTGTATCAATAGAAGCATTTATGGTAAAACACAGTAAATATACATACGGTTGCCAGTGCTGGTAAAGTAGACAGCAGTTGTCAGCTGTTGAGCCCTTCACTTAAATAAAAGTAATGTAAATACAAGTAATGTAAACAAGTTGGAGAGATTGCAGAGTACAGCAGCAGAAACAAGACCCTTGAAACCATGAGCTTCTAAGTAGAGAGAGTTAGTTTGTTTAGTCTAGAAAGGAAAACATTTGGAAAGAGACAGGACAACAGCCATAAACATGGATCTATGTTTTATTTACTTGCTAACCCTTCAGGACAAATGTCACTGGGTGGAAATGTTGCCACAGCATCACCTCATCATTTACCCATCAGTGGGGAATGGGGTTTGGTTATTATCCAAGCAGGAAGCTGGTGTGGGGCCCTGTGACCCCTGCTGATGGATACAGGAATGACGACGCACAAGCAGCAAGGTACAGCAGATAAACCCCACTCAGTTCAGCTCTGTAGCAAGGCTCGACTAAAAATGACTCAACACTGGAGTAACAGGAACAAGCTGGCTGTAGAGGGGAGCCACCTTAATCCTCAGCTGGTGAGGGAGCCTCGAACCCAAATGAGATCAGCAAAAGGGCTTGCCTACCTTAAGTGTGGCCCTAAAGAGCTCTTCAAGGACTGTTCGCAATCTGGAGCAGCTGAGACCACATGACCGACTGCGGCACATCTCCCGGGAAGGAGCGGACGGAGCACCCACCAGCCGCAGGTGGTGGATCTGCTGTTAGAAGAAACAATCATGAGGTCTGAGGCTGCAAAAGTCGTATGGGTGACGTGGACAAAGTGCCTAGTGGTCTCCTGTGTTACTGATGGTTTATGACTGTTGTTTTTGATTCCCCATGTTCTTCCTGGTTTAGCTGAAAAGACCAACCTGGCATCAAGCCTAAGGACTTAGGCCGTGCATAGCTAATTACCACAGCACCTGAGGGGGGGAGTTTGAGCTGGCACCCAGCAAGGAGGGGCCCAGTAAAAATGGTATTCCAGGAACGGAGGAATATTGTGGTGGAGGATGCTGATAAATGCTGAATCTGTATTTCTTTTGAAAGAAAACAAGTTTGTTAATTTTCTTTAGGAAAAAATAAAAGGATGTGGTTGTGCTTTTGAGCTGTGCTGCTCAGGGGGTTATCTGTGGAAGTTAGCGGCAACGGAGCTATTTCAGAGGGCTCAGCTGCTTCCCAGATTGCCTCTGGGCCAAAGGAAGGACTCTGGGAGGTTCTGGGCAGTCAGAGGTTTCCGGGCTGCTTCTGCATTAGGATGCTATTGCTGATACCTGCAGAGCTGGCTGATAGCCCCAGGTCCCTCTTTCCCTGCACACTGACTGTGCACATACATACCGGCCTTCTGCTGATACCATAATTGCTCCAAATGTGCTAGAAACAGCATGTGCAAAGCCTTTCAACTGGTTTATATTCATGACTGGACATTCAACTTAGCTCATTTCAAATCAGACTTCTCTTGAGGGATTTGAGTTCAGCTACTTTAAAGAAACTCTGCATGGTAAAAAGGAAAATGTCCTAATGTTTAGGCCTCTGCTAGTATAATTGTGTTATTGTGGACAATAACAAAGTTTGACATGACTAATGTATCTGTATAAGATGTGGGCAGCAACTAATTAACAGGAGCACTTCAAGAACCAAGCCAACTGCCACTGAAATCAGTGGGGAAATCCCTGTGCATCTAAAGGCATTTCACTGCAATTTGGAAATGTCCACCTCAACTTTACTAATTCAGCTGGTTTGACCCGTCCTAGGACCCACGTAAGACTCCATGGTCAAATATATACAGGGCTTTTTCTGACTTAGGAAGCTGTCTCATTATTGGAACTCTGTGTAGTTAGGGAGCGGCTGGGAGTGACCCAGTCCATGGAGCCCATCTGACCCAGTTTTCTAATTTGGGATGTCCACGCCAATGAGACAACCAGAAGAGTCAGAAGCCTCACATTCCCCAGCCCCTCAGCTAGCTCCTGTACCCATACTCACCATCAGCGGTTGTTTGAGGACTTGGGAACTAAACAGCCCAATGACTGGAGCTCTAAGAAGCTGTGAGCATAGAACTGGCCTTTGACAGTGCCTCCCTGCGTTCCTTACACTACTGGAGAGCAATGGCTCCTGCTGCTTCACCCCCCGTGAGCCGGATGAGCCCTCAAAGCTCACACTGGCCCGTCTGTCATCACACAGCTCCAGTGGTGTGTGTGCCATTAACTAATTTCCCCCAATTATCCTCCACGGGAGCTTTTTTTAGTCTCTCTAATTGTCTATATTGTTTATTCTGTATTAATTTCCCCTCCCTTTTTTGTTTTGACAAAAAAATCCTCTTTTCATCTTGTTCCTACTGGGTTCGGCACTGTATTAATCCCTGCCCTCCTCGCAGAGCTGAAGAACTGAAGAATCTTTTACCATTTTAAACAATGCTGGAAAATAGCAATAAAAAGAACTATTAACCTTCTCAGTGGGTTATGCTAAAATATAAAAACATGCACAAGAAATTAAAACCAGCTTGTATTTAAATGCAACCATTGACACAATTAGTGTAATATAATCCACAGTGTGGTTTACTGTAACATATCGAAATGATTTATATCTTTATGGATTTTTCTAGCAACAAAACTGCTATTCCCATGTTTGTTTCCAGCTTTCTCTTCTTTGTGCAGGGTTGTAGTCGTCTGAGCCCAGAGGGCAACTGAGCACCACGCAGCCACTAACTCACCCCTTCCCCCTCAGGAATGGGAAGGAGAAAATAAAGGCTCCAGAAATGAGATAAGGATAGGGAGGGATAACTTACCCATTATGGTCTGGGCAAAAGACAAGATTCCTTAGGGGAAGAAAAAAGAACATCAGTTCAAACACTAAAAACACCACCACAGACTGAGACAGTGATAAACCTTATCACATCTTAAAAACACCTCCTCCCTACCCCTCCCTTCTACCCAGCTCAGTTTTGTTCCCAGTTTCTCTACCTCTTCCCCCCAGCGGTGCAGGAATGGGGGTTACGGTCACTCCTGCTGCTTCTTCCTCCTCAGGGGGAGAGCTCCTTGCATTCTCACCCACTTCAGCATGGTTCCCCTCTCACGGGAGACAGTCCTCCACAAACTTTGTCCAACATGAGCCCTTCCCACAGCCCACAGCCGCTCCCATGCTGCCTCGGCAAGAGTCACCCCCGCGTGTTTCAGTCCTCCCAGCACTGAACTACAACAGCGGGGGCTTCTTCCCACAGAGTCCCAGCCTTCTTTGGGCACAGCCGCCTGCTCCAGTGTGGGGTCCTCCATGGGCTGCAGGCGAGTCTCTGCTCTGCCAGTGACCTCCATGGTGGCAGGAGGGGTGGCCCTGCCATCTCACCATGGGATACAGGGGGGTCTCTGCTCCAGCTCACCTCTCCCCCTTCTCTTCCTTCCAGTGACTTTGGTGTTTGCAGTGGTGTCCTCCTCACAACTCCAACTCTTCCCAGGTTCCCCTTCTTAAATACATTATCACAGAGGTGCAGCCACCATCGCTAATCGGCTCGGCCTTGGCCAGAGGCGGGTCCGACTTGGAGCCGGGGGAGCTTCGAGAAGCTTCTCACAGGGACCATGGCTATGACCCCTACCCCGCTACCAAAAACCCTGCCACACGTACAAACCCAGCCCAAGGGCATATCAGCATAGGTCTGCCCATGGTATGTTAATGCAATATATGCTTTAACGGTAATAAATCATTTCAGAATTTCAGTACATCAGTGGTGATGCCACACCTTCGTAAGGTAATTACACTTGCATTCTAATACAAGACACAGATGCCCAAGTTCAGAAAAAAAACAGATTTTTGGATATATTTTTTTTAATTAAATTTGGATAAGTGTTTAAAAATTAAAGTACTGTATTTCAGCTTGAATTATTTTAAATTTTACTTAAATTACTCTTAAACTCTAAAAAGGGCTAACATGTTAAGGAACCATTTTAAGGTTTTTAAAATAATACATGCCTGTAGATACCAGTTTTACAATATTTTTCATGGTCTCAGTGCATAACAACTTCAAAAAAATTTTTTCCTACTGCTTTTATATACAAACCCAAATTCCTAAGAATCTGAGAGATGGGAAAACATCTTCTTCGGGTCAAGAGATAAAGCTATCATTATGCTGGAAAACATTTATAAGTCAAGGACTGAAAGATGAGATCTATGAAGGTATTTCACTACTAATTCCTGCATATTCACAAGGAAATTGATCCCTATGTATCCTTTGCATCCCTAAAGAAATAAAAAACTACATCCAGTCACGTTAGACTGACCACTCTGAGGCCCAGGCTGACAACGTGCTTCTCAGAGAGCAGAGCTGGCAAAAACATGCTCCTCATTAAAAAAGAAGAAAAATCATTTTAAGCCTCTTGAAGTGTTCAATCAACATGAAACCCTTCAGAAATTTCTGGTTTTACATTCATTTCATGACTGGCATGTCTTAAGATGCCTGGTGCACACACTACATTTCTAAAAGGACAGAGCACCGATGCCTGATTTTTCAAATTTTTAGGCAATAAATCCTGAGGCTTCTTCACCGCAATTTCAGGACCACCCGACTGGGGTTTATTGAACAAACAACGCGGCGTACCCCACGCGAGCACAACCAAAGCAGCCAGGCCGTGTCCTTGCTGCATCACTGCCAGCCCGTGCCTACCCCGGGCTCCCCAGCGCTCTTTTTATATTTAAGTTGCGCCTATGTTAAGTATTTCGTGTGTGCGCATACACATGCCAAAGGGTGGGCTGGGGGTGAACCGCCGCTACACCCAGCGAAGCCCGGGCGCGGCCCCGGGGCACCGGTAACGGTGACGGTGACGGTGACGCCGCCGCCG